GGAGGGCGTGGCCTTGCGGCCCAATGGGTGGGGCCAGCTGAGAGGTGGGGCCCCGTGAGTGGGTGTGGGCGTGGCCAGGTGGGCAAGGGGCGGGGACTTTGGAAGGGAGGGGTCATGTCAGAGGAAAGAGGATTGGCTGAACCGTGGGATGGGGAAGAGGCGGGACTGTAAACTACAGGTCGAATTAGGTGAGAAGAAGGCGGGGCCCGGTAAGTGGGCGGGTCTGGGGAAGGGGCGGGGACCGTGGTCGCAGTATTACTAGGTCGCTGGACTTTGGGGTTCGGTGGCCCGGGTTATTGGGGATCCCGGAGTGATGGGAAGAGAGGCTGATTCTTGTTCCCCACAGTGCTTGATCCCCAGCCCCAGGAGGGCGCAAAGGCTGAGGCAGAGGCTGAGTCAGGGGAACTCTGCCGACTTCGCGCTGAGCTGGCAGGCGCCCTGGCGGAAATGGAGACCATGAAGGCTGTGGCTGAGGTGAGCGAGAGCACGAAGGCGGAGGCTGTGGCCGCGGTGCAGCGGCAGTGCCAAGAGGAGGTTGCTTCCCTGCAGGCCATCCTGAAAGGTGAGTCAGGGTCTCGTCGCAGACTCTCCATCAGCCCCACAGAGGGGAGTGCATGACCAGAAGAAGGTCAAGGGGTCCGATCAGCTGTGGGGAGAGGGGGGGGGAGGGTCGGTTAGCAGGGCTGCCTAGTCCAGGGCAGGCCTATGGGCCCAAGGAAGGGGCACCCTGTCTGATGTGCACAGTGGCACTGCCTGGGCTGGCAGCAGCTCTGTCAGTTCCAGCTGAGTTTAGCTCTGAGCTCTTCCTGCTCCCTTGCCCCCTGTCATTTCTTGTCCCTCACTGATCAGCCCTGAAGATGAGCCACTTCTCAGTTCCCGGAAGCTCCTTCATTTGAGCCTCTGGGCGCCAGACTCAGCGCTGGGCCCTGCCTCTTTGGAGTCTAACCCTCTGGTTCCCTTCCCTCCCCAGCACCCTTACATCCGCACCGGCCCCTACCACACACTCTGCATCGACTTCCCTGTATGTACTTGGGATGCAGCACCGTCCATTGCCCCAGATCCCGTAGCTCCTTTTTCTGTTTCCCGCTTCTCCTCTAGTCAGAGGCCAAAGTCTCTGAAATAGCTTCCAGTCCTGTCGCCCACTCTGCTTCCACAGCCACTGCTGTAGTGAGGCTCTGGACAACTCCCCCGGATAGTCACCCCAGCCTCTCACAGTCTCCTTCTGTAATCTGGCCTTGACATTGGCTTCCAGGGTACACTTTCTTTTTTTAAGTATATTTTTATTGATTATATTGACTTCAGGGAGGAAGGGAGAGGGAGATAGAAGCATTAATGATGAGAGAGAATCATTGAGTGGCTGCCTTTTGCACGCCTCCCACTGGGGATCCAGCCCACAACCTGGGCATGTGCCCGCACTGGGAATCAAACCGTGACCTCCTGCCTCATAGGTCAATGCTCAACCACTGAGCCACGCCGGTTTGGTCAGAGCACACTTTCTAAAATTCCCACCCCACCATGTCATTTACTTTTCTAACAGCTGCTCCACCTCCAGACTTCTGGGGCTGTATTTCCCACATCTCAGGCATCCACGTACTATTTATGCAACGTGGTTGTCTCCTTGTATGACTTGCCCTGTTACCTGCTTAATATTTGTCCTTTAAATAGGTCCACTTTTTTAAAAAAGTACATACATTTATTTTATTAATCCTTACCCGAGGATATTTTTCCATTGGTTTTTATTTATTTCAAGGAAGCTTTTTTTTTTAAAGATTCTTTTTTTTTTTATTTTTTTTTTATTGATTTCAGAGAGGAAGGGAGAGGGAGAGATAGAAACATCAATGATGAAGAGAATCATTGATCAGCTGCCTCCTGCACGCCCCCTACTGGGGATTGAGCCCGCAACCCGGATATGTGCCCTTGACCGGAATCAAACCCAGGACCCTTCAATCCACAGGCTGACACTCTATCCACTGAGCCAAACAGCTAGGGCTCCATTGATTTCTAGAGAGAGTGGAAGGGACTGGGAGAGACAGACAGAGAGAGAAACATCAATGTGAGAGAGACACATTGATTGGTTGCTTCCCACACGTACCCCAACCAGGGCTGGGGATCGAACCTGCAACCGAGTTATGTGCCCTTGACCAGAATTGAACCTGGGACTCTTCAGTCCACAGGCTGATGCTCTATCCACTGAGCCAAACAGGCTAGGGCTTACATACATTTATTTTAAAGGAAACTTTCTGTCCCTGTAAGAAAAACTACCCTAAATCATCATCATAACGACAGTGATAATAATAATGGCAAACGTTTATTGAACATATCATAACAACAACGTTTATAATAATGGCTAACGCATATATGCCAGGTACTGAGTTAAGTGCTTTATGAGTATTTAACCTTTATAACAGTTTCTGTGAAGTAGGAACTGTTATCTATCTCCATTTTGCAGAGGAAGCGCGGAGGCCCAGGTGGGTTTAGATAACTTGCCCAAGGTTCTGCAGGTAGAAACCACAGATTTGAACCCAGATGGTCTGGCAGCAAAACTTTTTTTTTAAGAGGATATATTATAAATTTATTCTTTTTTTATTCTTTATGACTTTAGAGAGAGGAAGGGAGAGGCAGAGAGAAATAGAAACCAATGATGAGAGAGAATCATCAATTGGCTGCCTCCTACACATCCCCCCTGGGGGGTGTGACCCAACCGGGAATTGAACTGTGACCTCCTGGTTCATGGGTTGATGCTCAACCACTGAGCAACACTGGCCGGGCTCAGGATATATTACAGATTTTTGTAGCAATAACTTAGTTCACACCATGCAATAAAAATACATTAATAAAAGTAAGTAAATAAAAGAACCAGTACATTAATCAAAATAAACAAGCTTTTGTAGGTTCTAAACTGAAGGATGTTCTTTTTCCCCCTGCAGAATCCTTAAAACCTGAGGCACTTAAAATTTGTTAGCCTTTCACCCTAGCTGGTTTGGATAGAGCGTCAGCCTACGGACTGAAGGGTCCCGGGTTCGATTCCGGTCAAGGGCATGTGCCTGGGTTGCGGGCTTGATCCTCAGTAAGGGGGTGTGAAGCAGGCAGCTGATCAATGATTTTCTCTCTCTCCCTTCCTCTCTGAAATCAGTAAAAATATATATTTTTAAGAAATTGTTAGCCTTTCTACTGAGATGTGAATTAGACACAACAATGAAGAAAAAGGTTAAGAGACCAGTTATCTGTTATGGATCATTCCAGCTTTGTTCAACCGTGACTGGAACTCTTCTCATATTCTCATTTGTTTTCCTGATAAAGTGTGCTGCCTGGCTATTGGCTGAACTTTGGATTTGGCAGAATATTTACTTCTAATGTTAGTACACACTAAAATAAGTATGAAAATAACAAGAAATATATTAGATACTGATTTTTGTTGGTGTATGTTGATACGCATCTGTACGTACTGTTACTGGTCTATATGTGGACTGGGTATCGTATCCTCAGCATTATGTGTAACACCCTCCATATGTCATCTCCTTCGATCCCTCAGCAGCCCAGTGGCATAGTCATCAGTGTCCTCATTTTGCAGCTGAGGACACGGATGCAGAGAGGCTAACACTGTCCAGGGCCATCTCTCCACAAGGCCCCCCGTCTTAGTGTAGTCACTGTGGTAAATTGCCTCGCCCAGTGCATTAGTGTTGGGGAGCCCCCTGCTCACCCATGGCGGCAGGTGGGGGGCAAGCACTGACCCTGCCCCTCCTCCGCCTTCCTGCCCCGACAGACTCCATCAGCAGCTACGAAGCCCAGATCACTTCTCTGAAGCAGGAGCGGCAGCAGCAGCAGCAGGACTGCGAGGAGAAGGAGCGGGAGCTGGGCCGCCTGAAGCAGCTGCTGTCCCGCGCCCACCCCCTGGACTCCTTGGAGAAGCAGATGGAGAAGGTTGGGTGTGGGATAGCCTCCTCCTGGCCCCACTGGTGGCCGTGGGGCAGAGGGGTGCTGGGGTGCCACTCCCAGATCATTGGGAGCAGGGCACCCAGTCATCGTTCTGGGTGTCACATATGCTGGGTCCATACTGAGCAGGGTCTTGGCCTGCCACTTCCTAGTGGCTTTACTAGGTTCACTTACCTCCACAATGAAGGACAGTCATGGGGAAAGGGAGCTAACCCTCAAGGCTACTCTCACGCACTAGGCGCTCTGGTGACTGCTTGGCAGAGTCAGGCTCCCTCTTTCCCCTGAAAACGAGCCCCATTAGACCCATTTAACAGATGAGTAAGATGAGGCTTAGAGAAGTTCAATAATTCTCCCCAGGTTTTGCACATGGAAAGGAGATTTGGGACTTAAAAATCAAAGCCATCTGGTTCTAAAATTCTTGTTCTGGAAATAGTATATCACTTTCTTTGTTATTGTTTTCATTATTAATAATAGTAGGAAGCACATATTACCAAATTCTTCATCTTTCAAAGCAGGTTCACATCGTTCCCTCACTTGATCCTCACAGCATCCCTGTGAGGTAGGTACTTAGCTCATTTTATGCACGAGGAAACCAAGGCCCAGGGAGAGCGAGTCAGTCGCCGACTAGACAGACAGAGGTCAAAACAGGAGCCCAAGGAAGGAAGGTGCCTAACCCACACCTTCCCAGCAGAGGCTGCGGCTTGGTTCGGGGTGTTCCTCCGGGAGCAGTTACCCAGGGCGGGAAGGAGAGGGCTCTGCTGACGGAGAGCCACCCGGGACAGGGGAGGGGCTGAGGCCTGGCCCAGCTCCTGCGTGTGGCCATGGTCAGTCCGCAGCCTGGGATCTCAGAGTGTGGATTCCGAGGCTTCGGATGGATCCAGAGAGTTTGTTTGGGCCACACAGGCTTACGCTGCCTGTTGCCATGGTTCACATAAGAGTTTGGAGGGTTAGACTGAGCTTGTTTTTTTTTTTAACGTTTTTATTGATTGATTGATTGATTTTTTTTTTTTTTAGAGAGAGAGAGACATCAGTGTGACAGAGAAACATCCATCGGTTGCCTTCCACACACCCTGACTGGGGATCAGGTCTGCAGCCTGGGTATGTGCCCTGATTAGGAATCGAACCTGAGACCCTTTGGTCCGTGGGCCGATGCTGTAACCACTGACGCACACCGGCCAGGGCCGCAGGGCCATTCTTGCTGACCGGCACTCGTGGGAGACGAGATGGCCTGGTGACGTGGTGAGGTTTGGCTGTCCTTGCACAGAGGAGCCTGTTTCATCCACCTGGAGACGTTATGTTCAGCAGGATCCCAAACTTGGAAAGAGACCAACAAGAAATAGCCGGCAATATGGTGGTGATTGGAATGTGGGAGGCATATCGGTTAGGGCGAGGTTTGGAAACCCAGGTCAGCAGTGGCTTAAATAAGAGCGATGCTTATTTTCCTAAGGTCCAGAGGTAGACGTTTCCAAGGCTGAAATGGCAGCTCAGCTCTTAGGGAAGCCGCAAAACTGTTGTTCTCCAGAGCGACTGAGCTCTTGCTCCCCGGTATTTGTCATCAGTTTGGCCACATAAGCTCCTATAAGAATTTGTTAACAAGTCGTTAGGAACTCGGGCTCCTTCTGTGTTGCTGTGTAGCCATAGGTATAGCTTACTACCTCATGTCCAAGATGCCTGCTTGAGTGCCAGCCCTGCCCACATTCTAGCCGGCGAGGAGGAGGAGGAGGAGGAGAGG